TTAATTAATGTTTAAGAAATTTGAAATCATTAATGTTCATTAATAGACATTCAAAGATTTGTTCAAATGATTTAAATGCGTATTTGCTGAATGCTGATGGCAAATGAGAAAGTATTATAATGTTTGCCTTTCTATTACTAATAATATAAAAGCAATCGTTATAATACTTTTTGTATACATTTCAATTCCTTTGTTTAATCGTTCTATCTGATTATTAGACAGACTTCTATCCGTATTAGACAGAACTGTTAACGACGACGGCGGACAAGAGGGAGAAGGTGAGTACTGTGCTCAGGCGCTGCCGCTGTCAAAATAAAAGTCAGTCGCATCGGCCAAACAGGAAAACTTATCGGCCGATGCCGATATTTTAAAAATGCCAAATATCGGCAGATATATCGGCCTTGGCGATATATCGGTCGACCACTACTTAGGAATCGTAAAGTTACAGCGCCTTTTGTAGAGCTGTTTTACAGCTGAATCGCACATTGACTTAAGTTGAATAATGAACAACATTTCTGCCTTTTGTAAAACTGCTTATAACTGAATTGAACCTGTATCAAATTTAATACATTTCACACTGTTATTAATTAATTAACTAATTGTTACATTAATTATAATTATTTTGCTCAAAAAATATAAATCATTATTGCACTTACACACAAGAACAAATCAAGAGAACATCAAATTATATGGTTTGCATATTTAGTTGCAGCAAACAGCACAAATGAAAAAAATAATAAAAATCTAATTATATGGTTTGCATATTTAGTTGCAGCAAACAGCACAAATGAAAAAAATAATAAAAATCTAATTATATGGTTTGCATATTTAGTTGCAGCAAACAGCACAAATGAAAAAAATAATAAAAATCTAATTATATGGTTTGCATATTTAGTTGCAGCAAACAGCACAAATGAAAAAAATAATAAAAAATCTCAATAGAGGTCACTAAACTCCAACTTACATGCTTGCTCACGTTTTCAGCTCATCAGTGTTTTCTCCATAATGTAGAGGTTGCCAGGTTGGAAAGATTAAGTAAACCACTGGACGGAAAATGTATTTGCACCTTGTCTACACCGGACACGATCAGTGCGATGCACCGTGCATGTAGCCTTCAAATATTGTTAAATTATGTGAACACTGTATAAAAAAAAATCAAATGAAAGTAATAGGGATGTAACAATATTATCAATATCATGATATTGCGATATCTTGATATTATCGTGGTCACATGACCACGATAATATCATATTATTATATTCTAATTTGCTTGGCTTCCTAAAACACCAGTGTGAATGTAATTTAGACTGAGACAGTATACTAGGCTTGTGATGGTGAGGAAATTTTCCCACCGATTAATCGACGTGTGACAACACCGGTAATACCGTTATCACCGTTGTGTAGTTTCCCCCCTTTTCTTTCCGTTTTAAATAGCTTGTAAAAGCGCCGTGCACATTTTACTTTCACTTTCAAATTAGCTGAAATTCGGTGTCAAGCAGTTGTTTGTTTTTAGTTTGTTTGAGTTTTCCCTCTTTTCCTCACTTTCCTTCGCTTTTAAATAGCTTAAAAGCGTTGTGCGCATTTTACTTTCACTTTCAAATTAGCTGCAATTCAGCGTCAGTTGCTTGAATTCAATTCAAGCAACAACAAAATACAACGTAGAACATAGAACTTTTATTAACAAAACGAATAAAAATACACCATGCTATATGCCTAATATAAAACAACAAATAACTTAGACAAAGTTTAGGTAAACAAAACTGAAGATCAGTAAACACTGTGGAACCAAATAAATAGGAAACGTAGGTTTATTAGCAAAACGAATAAGAAAGCTTGGAGACACGGCATACTTGATGTAAAATAAAATAAAAAATACACAAATAAAAATCAGAAACACTGTGGAACCAAATAAATAAGAAACGGATGTTTAAAAAAACTTCCAATATCACCTTAGATAAATGGCAGAAGTCAACAGGCTTTTCAAAATCCAAAATATTGGATATTATAACAGGCGCTTTTGCATGTCGTAAACTCTTCTACCATCGTCTTGTCTGTCTCACCTCACTCTTCTTGTCAGCTTCTCCTCACGTGATAAATGAAATATGATCTGTGATGCGACTGTCGTTCGGCACGCTGTGTTCAATTTTAATTGTAGTGTCTGTTCTCTAACTGAACTAAATGCTTTTTAGTACTATAAAAAAAATCTAAACGACGGTGGGGGCGGTGCCGAGGTGGGCAAGTGACATAACCGGTGTTGCAGCTTCACACCGGTAAAACCATCAACACTGTCTATCGCAGCAAGCCTACAGTATACCACAACTAAAAAGAGGGTTGAGTTCCCTGTAAAGTTCAGGTACAAGTTAATTCACTGACTTTTTTATGACTTAAGTTTTCTTAGAAACATGGGTTGGAGCTCATAATTTTGAACTCTCAAAGTGCATTAGATAGAATAATTTAACTTTAAAATGTACAAAATTTTATTTTTTTCCCCCAATTCTTCATTTGTCTTTTTTTTTTTTTAAATATCGCAATAAATATTGTATTGTGGACTTCATATCGCAATATTATCGTATCGTGAGATTTTGATATCGATACATCCCTAAAAAGTAATAAAACAAAGAAATACGTTATTGGTAACAGAAAAAGTGGCTGGTCTATTGCACTTAATGCTGCAAGACTTAAAGGGATAGTTCACCCAAAAATGAAAATGAGCCCATTATTTACTCACCCTCAAGCCATCCTAGGCGTATATGACTTCCTTCTTTCAGATGAATCCAATCGGAGTTATATTAAAAATTGACTTTGAGCTTCCATGCTGTTTAATGGCAGTCAGCGGGTGTTGCAGTGCATCAGTCCAAAATACGTGAAATAAAGTGCATGCATTCATAATAAAAAGTGCCTCACATGGCTCCGGGGGGTGAACAAAGACCTCCTGTAGCGAATCGATGCATTTTTGTAAGAAAAATATCCATATTCAAAACGTAATAATCACTTTAATGTAGCTTGCGCCAACAGTTGTACACGGAAGCAGCTCCGGGAGGATGACGTAAGATGTCGGCATTGCGCATGCACTGGTGAGTCTCGTGAAAACCAACGTTTGTTTACAGGAGCAAAGGAAGCAAAGTTTCCTTACTTTAGCAAAGGAAAACCAGTCTCCTCTTGGCTTATATCGAAATCCTCTGACATTCTTCTTTACAAATCATCGTTTTGTACTTCTAATTCGTGACCGTTGTTTTGTTTTGATCTCTCCCCTGCGCTTCCGCTTTCGTCACTTTTGAGTGGCGCATGCGCAACGCCGACATCCTACGTCATCCGCCCGGAACTGCTTCCATGTACAACAGTGAGCGCAAACTAGATTAAATTATTACCTTTTAAATATGGTTATTTTTCTTACAAAAGCCCATCGATTCGCTACAGGAGGACTTTGTTCACCCCCCAGAGCCGTGTGAGGCACTTTTTTATTATGGATGGATGCGCTTCTTTTGGACTGATGCACTGCAACACCCGCTGACTGCCATTAAACAGCTTGGAACATCAAAGACAATTTTTAATATAACTCCGACTGAATTCGTCTGAAAGAAGAAAGTCATATACACCTAGGATGCCTTGAGGGTGAGTAATTCTGACACATCACATTGGTTTTGTCCTGTCCATTGCTATGGTCATCACAATGTCAAACATCGCAATTTAATACAGTTGTCACTCCTGAAACTCTGCAGGGTGTACTTAGCATAAAAAATAAAACCTTTATTCAAATGATGAATGGGTTACACACAGAAAGTGAACAAAGACACTCACACTGATATCAGTCCAGTTCAGCCGCAGCACAAGCTCACTGACTAAGTGAAAATCTCTCATTATAATAAAAAAATCTGTGTATTCTGCACATACAATGCTCGGTACTGTAAAAACACGTTGTAAATTGAAACCTTTGATGCTCCTCAAAGACACTCACGCAAATATGCTAGCATTTGAAAGCAGCCGCCTGTTAGCGGGTCGGTAATCTGTGCGACTGGCACTGTGGAAAGGCTGGCACTTTGGAAAGGCTGATATCACTACATTTTAAAATGTAAGTATTTGTCTTGGTACCGAAGTACCAGTATTTTTGAGACAAACTTTATAAACAGTGATTCTGTCTACACTGGATACGCTGTGACTTGATCAACAAATCCCTGACAGTAAACTGATGCCTCATTCTATTCATGACATACTGACAATAAAGGACAAATGATTCACTGTGAAGCTGCTTTGACACAATCCGTATTGTATAAAGCACTATAGAAATAAAGGTGACATTAGAGTAGTAACATTTACCTTAATATACTACTATGAACCTTTTAGGATAAAAAAAAAAAATGGCACAAAGATGTCCTCTTGAGGGGACTGGCCCAGTGCCAAGCTGTTGTACCCCAAAGTCACATTCAATGGCACAGAGCTGTTTAAACTATTATGAATGACGTGTGAAAATCTACTGAGCTTCCTGCTGAGTTTTGTGAAACTTTTGCAGTCATAACATACAGAAAAGTCACTGAAATTCTTAAAAATCTTTAAACAAAACAGCTACTGTCCAGTGGAGCAACAGACCCACTGGAGTTCCCTTCCTCTCATGCATCTCTCTACCAACCATTTATGAAACATATATGATATTGATTTAGTCCATGTGTTTCCATACCTTGTTAAAGTCCATGTGTTTCAGTCCATGTGTTTCCAGTCCATGTGCTTCCATATCTCCCTGAGGGTCTCTTTCTGATTCATATGTGTGTATTGTAGTGTAGTAGTGTGGTTTATGATGTGTTTGTACTGTACTTGGATACGGGGCACAAGAGGAACATCTATCCTTCTTTTTCCTTTGTGCCCGTGTCTTTGTTTACCGTTCTGTGTATATTTGGCTCTCAGTGCTATTGAGGAACAGAAGCATTTCACCAGATCTATAATGCGTGCGCTCTGTCGATGCATCCTGCACAGTTGGTTGATGGGATTTCATTGTGTAGAGTGTTTACCTGGAGTTACAGCAGAGCAGAAGCATCTCTCTGTTGTTCATAAGGACCTGCAGAAGAACGAGGAAAGCCTTGGCACGGATGACTGAAGACGGACTCTCCAGAGAGCGGATTATCTTCATAACAAAGTCCTGCAAAGAGGCGTTCAAGCCGTTAGCACAGTCTTGTTAGCGCACATGCATCATTTAAAGAGACCGGGAGGTCTCTGGACATTTAGTGTGGCATAAGCCCCAATTGTCTGACAGTAATTTGACAGGTGCTATCACTTACACAGCAAGGTGCTGGAGGGGATGGAAAAGCCCCCCAAAATGCACTTGATATAAAACAGAGGTTAATAAGCTAATGAGTTCCACAGCATTTAGTGGGCAGCAAATCAGGAGGAATTGATTAACTTTCACTATCACCCTAATTGGGGGGGAACTGGCAAAAGCAAAACAATCCGAAACATTAGGATTAACTACAGCTCGAGAAGGGGAGTTAATTAATTTCAAACGCACCTACTGTACTCTCGGCATGGATCATAATTACATCAACAGTATTCCAAGCTGCACTCTGAGATTGCGGCACTTCCTTACCCAATTAGCCCAGTCGCTCGGCGCTTCGTTGAAATTTAAATTCTATGCTAGACAATGTATGAATAAACACGCCGCGTTCTGGACTTCTATTCGTCAGGGGAATTAAGCTGCGAAATCCACAGCAGTTTATAATTGGTCCAGAGGTGATCCAGTAAGTTTTAAGATTTTTTTTTTTCTAATATTCAGACTCAAATTGGAAATTTGCATGCAAATGAATACAGGTCAAAGAAAATTAGCATTGTTAATCTGAGAGGGCCTTGAAGGCAGTATACAGTGGCATTTAAATCAATTTCAACAGCCCATTTTCCGATTGATTACTGCCTCAGATAAAGAGCTAAACAGAGTTTTGTTCATTCTTGACACGCTCCATGGCCTGCATTGCTTCACGGACTGCTGGCTAAATCTAGGAGAAACAGAAGTTTCAGTTTTTGAAAAGAGGTTAGAAAACTTTTGAAACTTGAACTTTTTAAAAGAATTGTATCGGGAAAGAACTGCTTGCAAAGATGATTGCTTATGAAGACTAGACATTATTGTTGAGGTAGTTTGATTAAATGTAGGAAATAAAAACACTACCACTATTATTTTTTTAGAGAAACAAACACTTTCTCTTGTTACAAAAGATTTGTATTTAAAATAAATGTTGTTCTTTTGTACTTTTCATTCATCAAAATATTAAGCTGCACAACTGTTTTCAACTTTCAATACAGGGTTTCTACAGATATGAACAAGTGAAATGTAAGACTTTTTAAGACCTTTTTAATACCACCTTATATTAAATTTAAGACCTAAACCTGTAATGGAAATACACATTATATTACATACATACTGTATATGTAATATTTAATGTGTTAAATATTTATTAGTACGATATACAGTGAACTTTTTATATCAGCAGACAATATTCCACACAAAATATCCCCACAAAAGTACCACATCACCGAGATTTTTGGTGGTGTAATCAATTATTCTGAAGCAATATTTTCATCAGTGTTTTATCAGCTTTTACATACTTAAATCTGTATATTTTTATTTACCTTTAAAAAGGCCTATTTTTTAAACTTTCATGTCAAATTATTACAATATATCAATAAATTCTATAGAGCTGTTACCAGTCAGATTAAATAATTTACACTGCAAAATTACAACTGCAATAAATAATGTTATGAGATTAATGTTTTAAATACATTTATGAATATACAAGACAACAACACAAGAAATGTTGGGGGGAAATGTATACTTTTCAACATACAAAACTACTATGGAATCATATGGGTAGCAAAATTCATTTTGAAATGTAATATGCAAAATGACAATGGTGCGGAAAACTACCACGGTGTAAGGTGGCAAGTAAATAAGTGTAGAATCTGCTTATGTGCATCAATCGGAGTGTAAAACAGTGACTACGTTTACATGGACATCAGTAATCTAATTATTTACCTTATTCTAAATTAGAATATTCCTTTCATGTTCCTGTTTTACATGTTATAGTACATAGTTTGATTAATGGCACACGTCATTACGTCATCACGTGACGCCACCCGACGTCCCCTCCGGAATTTCACGTATAAACATATAGTTCGTCTTCGTGATGATGCCGTGTACGGTTTCATTTTCAATTTTATGAAAGCTTCAAGTGCAGTTAATTATTTGTACGTGCATACAGACGATGGAGGTGTTGAAGCTCTTTTATTTGCCGTCAAACGGTTGAGCACTGCTGTGTGAGTATCCTGTCGCAAAATGCAGCGAAAAGTCCTACACGACGGTAAAAATGTGATTAGGGTGTTTACATGTCTATTCTGCACTTCAGTAATGCGACTAAAATAGGAATACTCCACATGTCTTAATTCGATTTCTGTTTACTTCGATTATGACTTTAGCCGGATTAAGGTAATCAAAAATCTCTGTTTACATGGTAGATTCTTAATCAGAGTATTGTCTTAATCGTATTAAAATCGGAGTATTGTTGTCCATGTAAACGTACTCAGTGAGAGATGTTGAGGCAGGTGAAAAGCGTTTAGTTAATGGGGAATATTGATCTATTGTGCGTCTTGTTGCCGAGCCCCGCCTTGATATAATGATTCGACAGGTTGGGGGCGTGATCGGCTCGGAATGCATTTTCAAATCCACATTGACTTAAACTATATTATCGCGGGGTATTTAATGAAAATGCAATTGAAACGTCTTAAGTGTAAGTGTCAATGCATTTAAGAAAAAATAACAATTTTTGCAATGATTTTGCTGCATTTTGCTACAATTATCATGCGGTATCACGATGAAAATGCAATCTCAAGTGTCCTACCCGTAAGTCTAAATGCATTTAGGAAAAATGGCATTTAAATTATAATTTTGCTACAGTTTTTGCTTGGACATGTTAAACATATCTAATCAATTTTGGTAATACAATTTAATTTTAATTTTGCAACTTATAAAGCATTAAAATGTTTTTAATTTACATATTAAAACTAGTGTAGAAAATGGCAAATGTAAATTATATAATTGAATTTTCATTTTCATTTTGCACTAAATGTTGCACATATGGGTATGGGAAAATATAAGTTTAAATACAGAAATACATCGCCATTTTACATATTGCATTGTCATTTTGCATATTACATTTCAAAATGAATTTTGCTACCCATATGATTCCATAGTAGTTTTGTATGTTGAAAAGTATACATTTCCCCCCAACATTTCTTGTGTTGTTGTCTTGTATATTCATAAATGTATTTAAAACATTAATCTCATAACATTATTTATTGCAGTTGTTATTATTGTTATTTGCAGTGTAAATTATTTAATCTGACTGGTA